AATACAGTCGGTACAGGTGAAATAGGAGATCATAACAAATTGTATCAATTTAGATGATCTGTGTCATTCTTTTCTTTTTTTCTTATTTAGTGATCACGACAAGGAACACACGACGAATGAGAACCGGTCGGCAGAGGATGCTCACTCCTCCATGGCACCTGATTCCACATTTGATGTTTTGGAGGTCCTTTTCCCTGTTCCTTTTGTATTGTTCAGTGGACTTTTCAGCTTGAAAACTGTACGAAATCTACATATATTTTATTCATCTCTGGAGAACCTCATTTTTTCACCGGTTACATGTCACTCTGATTATGATTATGTCTCAAATCACAAAGGGCCCGTTTCCTCAAAGGTCCTACGCTAGTCGTAGCGCTACGCTGGCATAAAGTCGGCTCTAGATTTAGACCAAAAAGAGTGCCAGTTCCGATACCATTTGTCCAAATCTAAATCTAAAAAAGCTAGACATACTAAGTAGTCTATAATCGAGACACGAACGACTACTCGTCAAACCAGTTTATTTTGTTTATATAATTTTTGTTGGTTAAAGAAAATCAGATTTAATAATAATAAAAAAAAGATTTAGTTTGTATAAGTATTTCTCGACATTTTCAGACAAGGCACAACATTTTCAGACAAGGCACAACCTCATCCCTCTTTTGGAGTTGTAGGTGGAGCGATTTGGAATAGGTCAAGGATTAATTAGATGGTTTAACTACGCCTCTTAATGGCTTTATTTAGGGAGAGAGAGTTTCTATAGAACCAACACATTGGCTGTTTGTTGGACTTGTGTAATTATAAAGGTATGCAAAGAGAGGCAAAATCAAATTTACGTATAAGGAAATGAGGAAGTATTTGTTCTGAAGTTCTTCAAATACTGAATTAATTGACGTAGAAAGTAGTTGCATTTTTGTTTAAGAATGTTTTTGATTTAAATTGCATTAAAATTTTCAAATTCTCTGTCATTAAGTTTGTAAATCATTACTCCCTCTTTAGTGAAGTAACCAATCTGTCAATCTCAATTTTTATCAATGGGTACAGAGGTAATATAGAAACTAGAAGGATGTGCACCCATTTCTCTGCACTGGAGGACAACAGTGTGGCAACCTTACGCAAACCAGAGTTATTGTCACATCAAGGAGGAGCTTTGCTGTTGACAGGTTGGGACAAGTCACCGAAATCATTCATATGTCAAGGCCAGCGGAAGAAGAGTTATAACCTTTGTGAAACAAATGTTTAAATCTATGAATTATAGTGAATGAATGAAAATTGCTCTGTAAGATGAATTTAAGTCATATAAAGAAAAGGATCTGCACATGAAGCTAAACTAAATTACAAGTTGGTTCTGAACACTGAAATATAATTATTTGAAAATATTACATTGCTATACGTCAAGCAAGGTGGGCATATATATTAAATCCCCCATTATATTTATTTTGCAAACCTTGTCTGACAAAATAGAAAAAATAATGGTTGAAATAATGACATTTTAAAACTTGCCGGTTAATAATACTGAAATAAAATAATCATAGTGAAGTGTTATGCACCTGGAATCATCTAAATGAATCATTGCTAAAGTAGCAAATCAACGGTCACATCATAGCCAGTCAAGGCTTACCAGTTTTACTTAACTACCAATCAGTAGTAATCAGACAGATGCCATCATATCTATCTAGTTTTTGTTGACTTCAAAAAAGGATATTTCTGGATTAAAATGCTTTGTCTGAAGTTGATATATAAAAAAAGGATTAGAGTTCCTCAGTGACATTATTCATGTAATTTTTCAAAACCAGGTCTCCAACAAACAGTTGGATTTCAAAGTGGCAATTATTGGGGTTCCTTTATAAACCAAGCTGTTTTTTTAATATTCCTGAAAAGCAGAATTTATTCAAAAACTTTTAAATATTAAAGCATTTGCTGCGGCTTTCAATTCGACATTTAGATATATATTGACGACAACTTATCATTAACAATAGTTTTTTCCAGTTATATTCGACTCGTTATATTCAGTGAACTTGAAAAAGGACACCATAGAATGTACATCATCTAATGACATTTTAACGTCTTATTGGATCAAACCGAGACAGGCTAATGAAAGATAAGTTGATGCTACGGGGACCTCAACCCGAGTTCGATCCAGAACTTTTGGGCAAATTTTTGTCTGTGATTCTCACTCATATCTATGTTAATTAATTAATTTTGGATTCATTCTTTTTGACGTCATAGACAGCTGCTTTTTCAATAAGAAAAGAATTCGAAAAATAAGCTTACCTTTTTATTCGTCATTCGCAAAATTATTTTGTTATAAAAAAATTCTAAAGTTGTACAAGGAAGAACTTTGAAGTTGATATCAAAACTATGCTAGAGTTTATTTTCTAATTGACGATATCTATGTAGTTTTTAGAGATCAGGTCTTCCAACAATCATTTGGAATTCCCATGAATACCAATTGCACCCTGTTATAAACAGTCCTATTTTTGAATCGACATTTGGATATATCGATGACGTATTATATCAAATCATTAACAATAGTTACTTCCATTCATAAGTCGATTATATATATCCAGATGAGCTTGAAATAAAAGACACCATATCTGGCACAACTGTTTGATATTTTTAATAAAAAACCGTCCATGATAACCTAACAACAAACGTTTATGATGACCGTATTGGCTTCAACGTTTCTATTGTCAATTTCTTATACTTATGTGAATTGTGCCTCCCATTTTATTTGATACACAAGAGCATGTTTTACGTATGATCAATTTATAAAACGCCATTGTGAATCAAGTTAATGTAACATGGATATCAACAGCATTGTTTGAAATCATCATTGTGCAAGATCTATGCCGATACATGATACAATAACAGCAAATACAATCTACCTTTGGGGCAAATATTGACAGACGTTTTTCATACTAGTTGTTAGCTCATTGTTTACACACTAATATATCTACGGATTTTCCACTAATCCGATCGTGAAAGGAACAAAAAACGGAGTGACCGGTCGACAGGGGATGCTTACTTCTCCATGGTACTTGATTCCGCCTCTGATGTTGTTTGAGGCCCGTGTTTGCTCTGCTTGATCCTGATCTGTATTGTAAATATGGATTATGAGTTTCAATACTACAATATATTTCATTCTACAATGGAAATTAAAGTATGTTCAATGATGACCCACGATTAAAATCTTCAAACAATTGATAAATTATATTTTGTTGCGGAATGTCTTTTTAGATTAAAAAAATCAAAGGATCGATCCAAACCTTTTTTTTCCTTTCTTTTGCACTGGTCAGGTAACGCATCCTAATGAGCTACCATCGCTTTACATACAAAATGGGTTTCAAAACTACAATGAAGCACCGCATTTACACATTGGATTTTTTTGTGGCAAAAAGTAAATTTTTATTTGTCTCTGGGTCTTCTCTCCATTTTTAAAAGGTTCCTTTGTTTCTTGAAAATAAAATACGCACACAAATAACTTTTAAAAAACATGACCTAGAAATATAATTTTTTCTCAGAAAAACTTTTTAAAAAATTAATGTAACATTTTGTACCAAATTTCTCATCTAGTGAATTTTCATGCTAATTTTTAGTAAATCAAAACAAATCAATGAAACATATGGAGATAACGAACATTATTCAAGATCAAAAGTCAGTAAAACAATAAAAATAGAAACAGAACAAACACAGACCTCCAAAACAACAGATGAGATCAAGTTCCATGGAGAAGTGAGCATTCCCTGCCAACCGGTCACAACCGCCGTGTGCTCCTTGTCATGATCGGGAAATAACGGAAAAATCTGTCGTCAATTCAGTGTATAAATAATGGACTAACAATAAGTATGAAAAACGGGAAAATATTACCCTTAGCCGATATATCATAAGAATGCTAAAACATTTTATGTCCATATTCTATATAAGTAAGAATAATCATCCTCTGCCATATAAAGAATAAAAATGGCCATTTATTAAGGAGTACAACGCATAAGAACTGCACAATACATAATAGCATATAAAAAGTCACAAAAACATTACACCAAAATCTAGAACATGTGATGTGTTGTGACAGGTACAAAAATACAACACTCCTTCATAAATAAAAAAAATAAATAAAAAACATTACAAAAATATCACACAGTTGAATCCTAAAAAAATGTTTAAAATGTAGTAAAAGTACGTGTGTATTATGCAACAGAGTTTTGGCTATTGAAAGGACTAATTTTCTGTGACATATTGATAAAATTTTCACTTTTCAAGTGTGCCCAGAGCCCTGTCGAACACCAATTAAATGCAAATTTGATCATTCTGCTTAAATTCAGCAGAAGTTGAAGATTTTAAAATTATATTCTTTGTTTTTACACCTTTAATGCCAGAAAAATGGCATTTTGTGATGCAGAAAGGTCATATAATTGATTATGCAACGTAAGTTTAATTATATATATGTAGGCCTGCCCTGACTGATTTCAGGCCGAAATTCACGCAAAACCGGTATTTGACGGACAAAATACTACTTTTGCCAATTTTGGAGGATAATTCTAATGTTGCAAAAGATAAATTTAAGTTCAAAATCTAAATTAGAAAAAGACAAATACACAAAAAAAGTAAAGACGTTGCTTTTTTTAAAAAACTTTTTCCGGAAAAATTATATCTCCTTTAAGTCAATTTCTTCGAAATTCTGAATACTTCCTTTCTACTCCAAATATTTTGCAATATGTATAATCAACTGTGATTCTAAATTAAAACACATTACAATGAAATTACTAATAGTCCCTTAAATTTATTTCTCAGGCTGTGTGTAGTGCATGCGTTAGCGCCGAAAATGCAATTGTAAGGTATCCAGTTATATTTCCAACGTATAAATAGAAATTGTTGTCATTTTTAATACAAGTCATCTTTTTTATACAAATGATAAATAAATATTGTAAAAAATGAGGACTTCCATTGCATGAAGCGAAGAAAAGGCGAACAGTTCATACAATTCTTTATATTTTACTATTTATAATAATTTTACACAAATATATGCGCCTTTGATTAAAAAAAACACCGGATAAATGTTTCTACATGAATATAAAAATTGCTTAATGTATGACTAAAGGTCTTTTTTCTCTATATAACATGTATTCAATGACATGACCGAATCAAAAAAAAGATATTTTAAGTTTCTTACTTCCTTCTCTCATTCTCCTGGAATGGGGAGAATGTAAAAAAAAATCATATTACAATATATTTATTCATTTTTAATGCGACCTATTTTTGATCAGAATAACCACTAAATGAATTATTTTCTTCTGTTCAAGGATTCCATCAATAATCTTTCAATACGAATAAAATGCCGCTTTCTTGCTATATCTATTGCTGATTTACTGAACATATCTTTCTGTGTGACATCGGCACCAAACCTCAGTAAAAGTTCGACAATATTTTTATTGCCAAGAAGACAGGCTTTGTGTAATGCAGTTCTACGCTGCTTATCCCCGATGTCAATACTGATTTTATGCGTAAGAAGAGCTTTAAGAACTCGTTCATGAGAAAAGAGTACTGCAAGATGCAATGCGGTTAAACCATTATGGGATGTTTGATAATCCAAATTTGGTTGAAAATTAAGCAGAATATTCAAAATTGGAATGTGACCTTTCTGGGCAGCTATATGAACTGCACTAAAACCATATCTGTCGCATTGATTAACATCAGCTCCAGACTCCAAAAGCAATTTCACTGTTGATTCGTGCTCAGAAAGGCAAGCCACAAAAAGGGGGGATATACCTTCACTATTATAAATGTTGATATTAGCTTTATTTTCAACAAGCATTTTTACTATATCATTCTGTTGTAATGAACAGCAATAATGGAGAGGAGTGAATCCACTTTCGTCACATATATTTGCATCAGCTCCAAACTGAAGAAGATGTTCAACAAACCTAATATGACTTTCGGCAGCTACAAAAAGCGGACTTTTTCCATAGGTGTCACGTAAGTTTACATCTGCATTACTTTCAATGAGTGTCATGACGATGTTGTCATGTCCATTCATTATTGCTTGATGGAGTGGAGTTAATCCATTCACATCTCTGAAATTTACAGCAACCGTATTCTTTAACAGTAGTTTTGTAATTTTTTCATGTCCTTTTATACAAGCCAAAAGCAAAGACATTCCATTTGTATCATCAGACAACCTAAAATGCGCTTTAAATTGCAAAAGTAGCTTTACAATGTCATAATTACCATTTCTACTTGCGGAGCAAAGTGGATTCCAACCATCTTTAACACATAAATTTACATCGGCTTTGTTTTCCAAAAGCAATTTTACAATTTCGATATGACCTTCGACGGTAGCCGCAAAAAGTGGACTCCGACCATATCTATCACATAGATTAACGTCAGCTTTGTTTCCCAGGAGTATTTCTACAATACTAAAATGGCCTTTGATAGAAGCCACATAAAGTGGACTTCTGCCATCGTTGTGACATAAATTTACATCGGCTTTGTTTTTCAACAGTGTTCTTACAATGCCGATATGACCTTCGACGGAAGCCGCAAAAAGTGGGCTTCTACCGTTTATATCACATAAATTTACGTTGGCTCCGTTCTCCAGAAGTATTTCTACAATGCTGATACTACCTGTAAAGGCAGCAACAGAAAGTGGACTCCAACCACTGTGTTCACATAAATTCACTTCAGCGTCATTCTCAAGAAAAGTTTTTACAATGTTAATGTGCCCACTTTCACAAGCAACATATAAAGGACTCATACCATTACTTAAACACATATTCACGTCAGCTTTATATTGTAGAAGTAAATGAACTATATTCTCGAACCCATCTTTACTGGCACATAATAATGGCGTCCAGCTATTGCTGTCTGAGTGAATATTCACATCGGCTTGGCTTTTTAAGAGTTTTTCTACAATGTTGATATGACCTTCTATTGTAGCCGCAAAAAGTGGACTTCTATACAGATTATCACATAAATTTACGTCAGCTTTGCTTTTCAAGAGTGTTTTTACAATTTTCAGATGACCTTCGACGGAAGCCGCAAAAAGTGGACTCCTACCATCCATATCACATAGATTTACGTTGGCTTTGTTTTCCAGGAGTAATTTTACAATGCTGATACTACCTGTATAAGCAGCAACAGAAAGAGGACTCCAACCACTACATTCGCATAAATTTACGTTGGCATCATTTTCAAGGAGAACTTTTACGATGCCCGAGTGACCACTATCACAGGCAACATATAAAGGACTCATGCCACTATGTAAACAAATGTTTACATCAGCTTCATACTCAAGAAGTAAGTAAACAATATCTTCGAACCCATCTTCACTAGCACAAAATAATGGAGTACGATTATTGTACTTTGAACGCATATTTACATCTGCTTTGTTTTCCAAGAGTATCTTTGTCGAGGCATAATGTCCATTACAGACGGCTAAAAATAATGCTGTGTTTCGATTATCACCATTAACATCACAATTCAAACCGAGTAAAAATCTTGAAATACTGATATTATTAAAGGCAGCTGATAGATGCAAAGGCAAATGGCTTCCGTCTTCTTCTAATTGTTTCGTTAAAATATCTTCTCCACTAAGTAATTTTATTCTTTGTAAAATTGCAATGTTCCCATTGATACAGTTTGCTAAAATTAATTTCTTATTTTCTGTATCATTTAATTTTAAGTTTTCATATTCAATCCTTGTAAGGATGAATTCACAGATTTTATCATGGTTGAATATCAAAAAAATATTTAATGCAGAAAGTAGGGGATCGTTTTCAATAACATCAAATTTTGTTATAAAATATTTTCTTTCCTCTTCAAAAATTATATCGGACTGTGCAAACAATACATGTTGTTTCTGACATTTTATCCAAAAATTTCTAAAGTCTTTTATTGCAAGACAATCTATACGATTTGCAATATTTTTTACTACTTTCTCGTGCCGTAAGGACGGACACATACATATTTCAACAGTGTTGTTCAGAAATATTTCTTTTAACAATCTCTCCACAAGTGTGTCAATATATTTTTCATCAATGGTTATACAAAAGTCATTGTTCTCATGGGATTCATCCATGTTCTTTTCTGTAATAACTTGAACTTTCTGTCTGATAAGTTTCAAACTGCAGTACTTTAGTAACTGTACCGGGGAATGCTTTCCAAAAACAAAACTTGTTACATCCTCCAGAAAATCATGCAAAAAGCTAAAGGTTGACTCCACCTTTTGCACAAATGATCCAACGAGAGAATGAAGATGATTTATGATTACAACTCTAGAAACATTTCTGTCTACCTCACAGATCTCACATATCTCTTCAAATTTCGCCCTACTCTTATTAAAATCTAAGAATTTATCTGTATTGATGGTACCTCCATGCACGACAAGAAGAACAAGAGCCAAATACTTCTCTTTCTTCCTAGATTTGTATTTATTTATTTCAGCTATGACCACGGGAGTTGGATTCTGGAAAAAGTGAATCCCGTTCATTCTGTAATTCTCATTTTCAGTAAAAAGTCTGCATAACAACGGAAAAAGTAATTCTGCTCTTATTATAAGCTCAATTTCCTCATCTTTCAATGTTTCCTTCGCAACATAACACTCTAAAATTCTTTTTTTCTCGTCATTATCTAATTGCAGTTTCTTTGCATCGATTTCAACAATGTTAGCGCTAAGGAAACACGTATAGATTATTTCATATATTACCGACTTCCTACATGTAATCAAAACTTTGATAATTTTATTTTCAAAGACTCCGCTCAAAGATTTGTCAATCTTTAACCATTCATTAAATGATACTTCGTCTAAACAATATTTTCCAACAGGATCATCAAGAACAAAGAATTGTCGATGTGGAGAGGAAGGGTCTGCTATGCGTTTAAATTCTAAAACATGATCTACTAGAAATATATTCCAATCGTGTTTCTGATATTCTAACGCCAGGTGACGCGCTATAAATGATTTTCCAGATCCAGAATTACCTACAATAGTTACAATATTTTTTGTCTTCAATTCTTCTCTGACAGCTCTACATGCCCTGGTCTCGACAAATTTTTTGTCCTGGATTTTCCAATCTTCAACCAAATATCTTTGCTTCTTTGCTTCTAAATGTGAAACGCATGAATAAAATCAAAAGTAAAGCGTGTTGTAAAATCTTCATGATTTATCTTTATGTAACTTTAAAAAAAAAAGTCTAGCGACTTTTTTTTCTTTATTTGATTTAAGTGGAAGGGCACTTTTTCAGCAAATTAAGTTTTAATGATTAATTAATTGCAGATTCATCAAGCAGGTTCCTTGGGTTTAGCCAATCCAAAAAATTAAGTTTAATCAAAGTCACCTATAATCATTTAATTTTTAAGTGAAAGCCGATTTAAATCATCATTAGCATCCTATTCAATATAATGCATAAAAATATGTCTAACCCTACCCTCTAATAATTTATTAGACTTCATTTTCTCTTCCATTGCTTGTCTCATCTTTTCATCCATACAACAGTGGCTCAAACTGACGAGTTTCTGATAAAAGAGCAGTACAATACTTCTCAGCTGTTTTTATGAAACTAATCTTCGAAAAGAATTATCTTATATAGATATCAATGAAAAAGGTGAAGATCAAAAACATTTGTCGTTCTAAAATCATCTACAAACAAAAACAAATCTGTGAAAAGTATATAAAGCACGGACCCCCAGAAACTCAGGACGTGGGATCAGTTGCTTACGAGGAATAGACATTCTCTATTAATCGGTCACATCCGCCTTTAGTACTATCTTTTGATCAGGTATACAGTTAATAAAGGAGCACAATTAGTGTCAATCGAAATTCCAACACTTTGTTGAAAGACCGGGCTTCATATCAGGATCATGAAACAAACGTAGACTTATGTCAAACTTTCAATCGCCTATTAAATATTTATTAATTATAGGATTTATTTCTAAATTTGTAGATAACAACACCTCTTAAGCTTAAGATCTTCATGATCCCGGGGCCTGGTCTCCGAAGACATGGAAGACAGCATAAATTTTGTCAATAAGGAACCACAGAGTCCTTTTTATATAACAATATATGAATATTTCCGAGTTCGATTATTCAATGAAGAAGCAGTTGTTTATAATATCAAAAAGCCTATTTTCCATTTTATCATGAGAAATGAATGGTTGTCTAAAGTGTAGAGAATTTGAGCATTCTGATGTTATTGACTGTAGGAAAGTTTGTTATAGTAATAATAATGAGCATTGCAAACAAATATGATATTGTTACAAGCTTAAATTTTTCTGCTGGAAGCATAGCATATTGTTCATGTAGTCTTTCTAATTTATTTATTAACTCCAATTTAGTGAAAACGGAAGGATAGATGGTTCAATAATTGCCTTTTAACTTTCTGTGCATTGCCTTTTTTTTTATATCAAGAAGTGTAAAGATTTTTCTACATTCATAACGGGCTTCTTTTATAGAATATATCTTTTAAAAAAAATATACAGCCAATTAAGCATTTTTTTCGGGAATTTGATATGATTTATCTTCCAAGTATACCTTTTTATAGTTTTTGCCGGGTCTGTTCCTATCGAATCTTTCAGATATCTTTTCGAGTTCCCACCAAATGCTGTTGAATTCAGAATCTGATATTTCTGCTCGAGTGGTATGTCCATAAACTTCATTTCTATAGTAGCGGATCCTCTCTACGTCCGCTGCCACTGAGAGATCTGTCGGTGGAGGTTTCCTGTTCCATCCGAGCAGAGGTTGTGAGAGTGGACATAAATTTCTACAAGAAATGAAGGAGATGGAGATAACGAACAGTATTCAATATCAAAGTCTACTAAACAAATACAAAATAGGAGCAGAGCAAACATGGACCTCCATAAAATCATACGTGGAATCAGAAAGAAAGAAGGCAATTTTTATATCTATTTATTTAAGTATCTTGCATTATACTTAACATTTGAAGCTAACATTTGCTTTCAAGCAGTTTGATTTTTCTCATTCCTCTCCATTTTATCCTCTAGAAAAAATACCATTATGCCAATTACTACAGTACCAGATTCCGAGAAACAAGAGAAATACCTGGTACGAATACTTAAAAAAAACTTTTTAGTCTGTTGCAATTACATGTAATCGTACATATTATACGATAAGGGGCACTGTAGAAACGTTAATATGATGGAACTTTTTTTACATGACGAAAGCATAATCATGTACATCATTCTTACTGTAAGACTTATGGTAGTAAGTAGTCCGATCCCCGTTTTCTAAAAATTAGATTAATTAGATGAAAATGCTTATAAAATGTCTCTGAATTCACAAAACTATGTATATTTATCAATGGAATATGCACAAGGTTATGCATAAGTTTCATAGTTTTCAAGGTTCGTAATTTTTTTTTATTTTAGGAAACGTGAATAAAAGCACCAGCTATTTCTTATTCAAATATGATCAAAAGATATAGTTTAGGATTTGAAAACTATAGGTATTGAAGCACTTCGGAAACAATTCTAAAAAAAATACTTTTAAGGTATTTTAGTTCTTTTTACTCTTTTATTATAAAATACATGGATTAAGAAGCTTGTGCCATCATTACAAGACATCACAGATTAACTTCATATTTAGTGACATAATATTTCAATTTCTCTCAACATATTTTTATTTTGTACTTTTATTAGGCACTGATGTCAACCTGTTAAGAGACCTTTTCTGACGTATACACATCTGGGAATTTTGTTTTTCTTTAAAAAAAAATTATAGGCGAAGTTTTAAAGAATGACCAAGGTTAAAATCATAATGCTGAAAAACAAATTATACATGTATTTTGCAAACTGGGTTTATTTTTATTTTTTATTTATTTTTTTATTTTTTTTTTATTTATTTATTTATTTATTTTGTTTCTTTTTGTATTTAAACGAGGTTCAAAACCATTTGTTTGCCATTTCTTATAGGGACATGCACACATTTTCTGCTGAAAATATTAATATTTTTTTCAATTGTTGTGCATATAAATACTTAACTAAAGTATTTTCTAATAATTATGAAAAAAAATTTGAATCTCAGTTGTCGAGACACAAGACAGATTTAGAATTCTAAACCTTTGTTATGTAAACAAGGCCCGTGTCGCATTTTTGTTTACATGGTTTAAATATATTCATATGCAACTTTTTTCAATAAAGAAGTTAATTCTAAATACCATTAGACAGTTTCTTGTTAATTACTGAATCTTGATTTGGTATGAATATGATATTTTTTTTTTTTACATGTAAACAAACATAAGACAGGAACTTTGTTTACATTATGAAGTTTTTTTGTTCTGTATTTCCTATGTTAATCAACAAATTATTTTTTATGTCAAATTTTTGTTGATCATTTGAAATACCTTAATAAGGAATTGTAAAAAAATAAGTTGAAACTGTGTCCATGTCCCTTAAAAATTATCTTCCCTTAAATTAGGAAAATCTGTTTGCACTGAAAACAATCACGAACAAAGAGGGATAAATCGCGATCCGCAAATTTCATTTTGTTTACCATTTTCATATATGTAAAGTTATAATATAGGCAAATATGCTTTTATACCTGATCATGATATACAACAGAGAGCTGTCGAAATCTTCGTAGGAACCTTTGGCAGCTGCGTTGTTGATAGATGCCCATTGTTCTGGTCTGAGGTTTGGCAAGCTAGTACTGACATTGGCCTTTCTGGCTATATCTCCTGGTGTGATATGAGAATCCAGTTCATCCCTTAGTATGTCCGTATTTAGGTTAATAATGGCTCGGCAAGCTCGAGCAAAGTTGGTATGTGGATCAAGACTTGTTGTCATCTTGCAAATTTTGCTGAAATCAGATATTAGTCGAATGAAACATATGGAGATAACAAACAATGTCTTCATTTTAATCACAGACTAAAGAATGTTAAAAGTCAAATATATAGTTGCTAAACGTTTCCAATTTGATAATTTTTAAAAGTTGAATGTTGAAATGAGATTATTTGAAATATATCACACATCCTTTTGTCACAAGAGACTTGAACTCACTCCCACTAAATCTTAAATGGGTAGACAATATATTTCATGCATGACGAAGCTTCCATTCAAGGAACTGATTTTTCCAATGGTGTCAACTTTTTTTCCCGAGGTTTTACATACCTTTGTATCAAGATTTGAACGTATTTGCGTCTACTTTACCCTGGATAGCCGGGTATTTATATCATTAGTTAATTTATGGCTGTGTTACGATTAAAATTAAAATTTCCCATGTAAAACGTTGGACCATTATATTCGCACTATATCATTCCCAAGCATGATAAGTATTTGAACAATTTCGTTTAGGGACTACATTAAGGAAGCTATCTTATGTTTAATTGTTACTAGCTCTATGGTTCTTGAGAATATATACTGAAAGGAAGAAAAAACGCAGGTTAACATATAAAATATGCGAAATTTTGTGATGGCATGACCGGAAATTGACTGGTCAGATTAAGAATTTTGGTTACTATACACTAAAATCATTGTTAAATTGTTCACATTTTAATAAATGACATTATTCATCTCTATGAAAGTGTTTTATTTGACTTATACAAAATTAGCAAAAACAAGCTGTTGTTGAAAACCCAAAATATTGTTAAAAGTTTTATTAAATTTGCAAAATTTTGATTTCTGTAAAGAGGGCTAAAAAGCAACTTCCGATAATGGAATGAAAATCATTCAACCGTTAAATAACTGATTTAGCAAAGTAAAATATGTCCTAAATTTTTTGGTACATAGTTATATCCCGTATATCATGTTCAGCCTAAAATTAGGGTGTTGCGTTTCTATTGATTGTGAGTATATTTTTTGGATTGTGTGGGCGATATGGGTTCGAAATACCCAGGCTGGTCTCTTTCAGCTAAGACCATCTTGTTGTAGGGTTGAATAATATTTCTATTTTGAGGATTAACACATTGATGAAATGCAAAGGAGAATCAATTAAGACTATAATTCTATTTTCACTTTTGGGGGTATCGTCAAACGAGTTGCATTAATCATGAATTATAAGGCAAAATCTATTTGGTTAAATTTTCATTAAAGATGATTTTGAACATTAGATACATGCAGAAATACTAGAAAATACACAAGGAAAAAATGAAATTAATTCACCTGAAAAGTTAACCCTGTGTTTCTTCTTCCTTTCAGTATATTAAGAGATTTGTACCTTGTTTAAATTTGATACCCTATGTGCATTCTTAATATTATTTTGTTCAGGTAGGGCTTATAGTAATTGCAAATGAAATTTATCTGAAAATATGAGCATGATCAGTCATCCAAAAAATGATGCATAATTCACATGTATACAAGTAAAAATGATGCATAATTCACATGTATACAAGTTTGGTCAGACAGGGCTTATATTTAGTATGGAATAAAGCTTGCAGTTAAAACACCAATGCTTACGCTAACACCCGGGTATAGCATAAGCTCATTTCGACTTTGTTAGGGTAAGCTAAAAAGTGTGGTTACGTGTAACAGGGAGAAAAACCAACAAACATCGGGTAATTAGAAAATCTTTCTAAAATTATACCTAACGTAAGCTTTCTTAGCACCCTGTCAAATGCCAATCAGCTTACAGAGTTTCCTTCCGTGTAAATTCAATGAATAAATATTTTTATCAGGACTATTCATGACATCCATCCAGTACAAATAAAATCAAAGTACTGAAAGTACTGATAGACGGAGGCTTGAAATGAACATGATTGTTTGTCTCTGTGATTTTTTATGCCCCCGTAAACGAAGTTTCGGGGGTATATAGTTTTTGTCGTGTCTGTCTGTCTGTCTCTCTGTTTGTCTGTTTGTCCGCAAAAACTTTAACCTTGCCTATAACTTTTGATTTACTGGAGCTATGACATTCATATTTCACATGTGTATTCCTTGTGACAAGACCTTTCTTTGGGTACCACCAAATTTGACCTTTTGACCTTGACCTTGGAGTTTGACCCACTTTAACACAAAAATTTTGAACTTTTACTTTTGCCATATCTTTTGAACAATAGATACTAGGACATTTATATTTGAGATATATATTATTTGTGGTAAGACCTTTCATTGGATACCAACGACATTAACCTCTTGACCTTGACCTTGGAGATTTTCGTACCTGCGAAAAAACTTTAACCTTGGCTATAACTTTTGAACAATAAGTACTACGGCTTTCATACTTCACATATATAATTCTGATAAAAAGACCTTTCATTGGATACCAAGAACTTTGACCCTTTGACCTTGACCTTGGAGTTTGACCTACTTCAAAAATGCAACATTGACCATAATTTTTGAAGGGTTCAGGCTAGGGCATTCATACTTCACAAGATTAATTCTTGTGAAAAGACCTTTCATTTGATATCAAGGACTTTGACCCTTTGACCTTGACCTTGTATTTTGACTTACTTTTTACAAACTTTAACCTTGACCATAACTTTTGAAAAATAGGGGCTAGAGCTCTCATATTTCACATGTGTAATCCTTGTGACAAGTCCTTTCATTGGATATCAAGAATCTGGACCCTTTGACCTTGACCTTAGAGTTTGACCTTCTTTTTACAAACTTTAACCTTGGAACTTTTGAACGGTAAGGGCCAGCGCTTTCATACTTCCCATACGTAATCTTTGAGACAAAGCCTTTCTTTAGAACCCAACAACCTTGTCACTTTGACCTTGAAATGGAATTTTTCCTGTATTATAAAATGTTCACCTTGGTCATAACCCTGGAACAGGTGTAGATAGTGTTTTATATTTCGCATTTCTTGTGAAAAGGCCTTAATTGCATGATACCAACATATCTGATCTGCTTTTGAGAAGCTTAACCTTCGCTATGTTGCCATACGGGGGCATCAGTGTTTCACAAACACATCTTGTTTTATTCATATTCTGACCCCAACATTTGCCTAAGGGTAGTTGGAAACATCTTTTGAACAGTAGATACCAGGGCATTTATACTTCATATATGTATTCTTGGTTGAAAGACCTTTAATTGGATATTAACAACCTTGACCTTTTGACCTTGACCTTTGAGATTCCATACTTATGAAAAAACTTTAACCTTGGCCATAACTTTTGAATGGTAATGGATATATAGTGCTTTCATACTTCACAAAAGTAATCCTTGTAAGACGACCCTACATTGGATACCAAGAACTTTTACCCTTTGACCTTGGAGTTTGACCTACTTTAATAAAGCAAATCTTGAGCATAACTTTTAAAGCTTTAGAGTTAGTGCTTTCATACTTTATATATTAAATCCTTATGACAAGACCTTTCATTTTTTAGCAAGACATTTGACCTTGGAGTTTGGCCTACTTAAAAAAATTATCCTTTGTCATAATTTTTGAAGGGTTAGGGCTTCATACTTCACATATGTATTCTTTGTAGAAAGACTTTTCATTGCATACCAACAATCATGACCTTTTGACCTTTACCTTGGAGATTTCCGTGCCTATGGAGTAACATAAGCCTTAACCTACTTTCATATTTCACAATTGTATTTCCAGTAAGAATACCCTACTTTTGGTATCAATATAATATTATTAAATTTGCATTTAAGAAAAGTTTAATCTTCGCTGTATTACCACACGGGGGACAACAGTGTTTCACAAACACTTCCTCATTTATGTTATCGTAGCCTGATGTTTAATTATGTAATTAACCGAATTCCTATTTTTTATCAAAAGGACAATTAACACTTCTGTTGTGTTGGATATAAACATGAAGAGGATATTCAAATATTTTCAACATTATGAAAAATATTAAGCAGAACAAACGCCTGTTTGACAAAAAAAAGAGGGCTTCCAACCCCCCGACCCCCCCCCCCCCCCCCCCCCCCCCCCCCCTTTGGATCCGCCAATGAACGTTTAAAAGCATTCACCCATCCTTGACACTTTTTCAATATTTCTCCAAGGTTTGGGAAATCTAATAATGCATATATTTTTGTGGGCATACTTTGAGTCACTTTTGCAGATTCCATGACAACAGTGTTTTATGGGTACCCGTGTTTTATTGCTTCCTTTTTTGCACAGGTTAGCCATAATATTACTAAATTTACACCACTAAGTTGGTCATGTAAACATAGAATTTGTCCCATCTATATAGTTTGCAAGCATGTGATAAGGAATTCTAAAAATAGATGCAGCAGAATTAAATTCTGTGTGCTATAAACAGACAAGCCGCAGCTCTCTGCTGAGTCTGTCAGTTTCAATTAAACAATGATGCAGAGTTCTTCTATCTAGATAATGTATGGTATTAATGTGATAGGTCCCTCGCAAACTAATAAAAGAAAACCCTCAGGCGAGGTGAAAGGTGTGAGATAATTATAGGTCCATGACAAAAAAGAATACTGTATTGTATGTGGAATACTGAATTAGATTGCATCAAAAGCAGATGCAGAAAACTGCACTCGGTGATTTGTTTTGGTTTCCCCGACAATTTAAATTGTTTGTCAGCGAGAGTTTTTATCAGCCAATGAGCGTGTCAACAGCGGACTCTAAACATTACTGATCACCTGTCTGTATACAGCGCATATCCGATATCAGACAGGCAAGCCAGTTTATCAAAGTTTAGCCTGGTTCGGCACTGCTTTGCTTCATGTACTCCTGCATTGGAAAGGATGAGTCGGGGGAGCAGACTAATCAAAGTTAATGTGATTTGCCGCTAGATGGCGATCGCAAATTCTCTTCCGCCGCAGATGAGCGATACCAATAGAGCGGAGGCATAAAGCCTCCGTCTAAAAAGGAGCATCCTCCGCCCGTCGCATGTATTTAAACACTCTTGATATTGTACTTCAGATCCTTATAAATATAACCAAGTTCCATTTCTCGTTTCAAGTATTTCATTTAATAAAGATTTAATAATAATAATAAAAAACAGTGGATTGTGGTGTCCGTGCGGTGGAGAAATTATACGCTACTTAATTTTTACTAAAGTTTACATTGTTTTCTCATACCTAAGTGGCTAGTAATTTACAGCTATACAGTCAGTCACAGTGATACTGATGACGTACAGTGTATTATGATGATAGTTATGATGAAACTGACGTTCGGTGCTCATAAATACAACCTTCTATAATGGTCATATGATCAAAACAAACCAATGAATAATTGTCCTTTCTGGAGCCCCTCAGAACTACTTTACATACATTTTGTTTAATACAAAGAAAATAATGTCGTCCTTTCTACATGTAAGGTAGGAGCTATACATTCTATTTGATATACGTAATAAAATTAGTTCAATAAACAATCTGTAATAAAACAGACACATACAATCCATGGCGTAGTAATACCGGACAATAATGCACACATAAGTATTATGCTATACATTCAAGTTCCAAACATATCGTCAAATAAAACATAATTGAATGACAATACTGCAGTAGAGTAACATTTAATTATCAGTTATAAGCATTTGATGACATGGACAGTATTAATTTGATCTCATCAATTGTAAAACGACAATGTTTATGTCACATGACTATTTTCTTCATGAGAAAGATGGCAGGCGCCCAATTTTCAACACATGTGATAATGCTGAAATACTTAAGTAAGTGAATTACAGTCGTAATATGGTAGATAATGATGAAAAACTGTCATATAACATCTTAGTATCACTGTCTCTTACTGTCTCTTCAACAATACCTCACTAGATCGTATAGTAACACAAAAACAACATTTGTTTACATAACAATGTCGAAGTGCAATGTGTATTGCAGCAATGATTTAAGTAAACAATAAGATAATAAAATACTGTAAACCAACTTTTATTCGCGACGACTTTATTTCGCGATTTACCAGGGAGAAACTAGTTCGCGACGATTAATTTTCGCGATCAAGCCTTTTTGCATCTGTTTTTAATAGAAAAATATACTATAAGGACCGGTTCGCGGCGAGAAATATTCGCGATGACGAGCCTCTCGCGAACTTCGCGAAAATTTCTCGCACGCGAATAAAAGTTGGTTTACAGTAACTTGAACATTAAAACATTTCTAATAAATTTAAAACTGGATGCTACTTTACATCACTGAACAACATACTCCACAAGCCCGTGAGTATTATGCAATATATATTCTAAAGTCCACCCTCATACATATTACATATGGTGACTAACCACTATAATATAACAATAAGCTGAAATCCACCCCCATATACAACACAGTTAAGTACTAAGAATATAATATTACATTGATTTCATTGACTCAAAGTTTTACTCATGCATAAAGAGGATGAAGAAACGACTTGTGGAAATATGGTTATAAACATTATTTATATTGAATGAATTCCGAGTAAGTTTCAGAATTGCAAGGATTAAATAACACAAAAAGCATTGGTCTATAGATATAAATGTGGATTTTACATCATTACACATTACTTCCTGATTCTTACACGTCAATATCCAGACTGATCTTACATTTCAACTTTTGTTTTACTATTCTACACACAGTATATTTACCTATAAAGAAATATGAATATTAACAAAAAAACAACAACCAGTAAATGGGAATTTTGTAATGATTTTGTGAATTTAAAGTTTAAATAAAAAACATACCTCGTCGACTGCTTAGAGTGCAGTTGGTTCTAATTTACCTGAAAATCATTTCTGTAGTAATAAAAAATAATCACAAACACAAGTGACGGTCTTATGTGCAATAAGAAAATTCTTCCTTATTCTGAAATAATTTCCGTCTTACCTTCAAATATCTACAGTGATCAAAAGAAAGGTCTGGATAAATCATTACATGGCTGTCTATGTACATTTAAATATCAAAAACGGGGACAACAATATTAAAGAGACATAGACACAGTATGAATTGGATTTTTTAAAACCAGTTTTAATGTTTACAATTCCAAACGAAGGCTATTCTAATAATCAGCACAACAACAATTCACTAGAAACTGTCGAGCCATTTTAGAATTAATTTTTTTATGGAATAGTAAAAAATTGCTTTGAACAAAACATAAATTAGTATATTTAACCTTTGTAAACAAAAACATAGTAAAGGCCCTGTTTACATAACAAAGGTTTGGGACTGTTAATTTGTCTTCTATTTTGACAACTGAAATTCGAATTTTTTATCATAAGAAATACGTTAATTAAATATTTGTAAACATGAAAAAACTGGGAAAATGAAGTTCGGTTTTCTTTTAGCTGAGACTTGTCCATGACCCATTACATGCATTGAATAGTATACATAGAGGAACACGGAAAACCCCTTTTACACAGACTGAATAAGGAATAAGGAAATGTAAATATATTGTGCATGCTTGATTTAGCCTAACTCGGTGTACACTAGTGAACAGTGATGTATAAAGTTTTATAACCAAGTGTAATTTACAAATTGCTTTATACATATGGTTTAGATTAAGTTTTGTATCTTGCCAGTGTAGGGAAGAAAGAGAATTTTAACGGGTAAAAACGTCAAATATATCTATTAAGACCAAGTTATTTCAAATAATTTTTGCAAAATAATTTCCATGCTATTGCTATTATACAGAAGAATTCTTGATTGTGGTTTCTGATATGTTCTAATACATCAAATCGATTCTAATTTCACTATTCTCCGCCATGTTTGATTTATTGCTACACCTTTCAACACATTCCCGCGTGTATACAAAGTTTACTTTGTATATTCTTTTATAAATTTAATAGGCTTATCCATTTCTCGTTTGATTCTTTACATATAAGGAACTTTTGAACAATTTGAATTTACAAAATGTCACCAAATTCAACAGCTTAAAAACTTTTTGAAATCGTTGACAGCTGCTTTTTCTATGAAAATTAAACTCGTAAACTTACTGACCTGTCATTGGTCATTTGCAAAATTATTTCGGTTAAAAAAAAACATTTTGACTGTATACACAAGAACTCTGAAGTTGACATCACGGTTTAACGGTTAACCGATTGTCAATTCTTTGTTCGATTGCCATCGCTAACAAGATGTGTTTGTGAAACGTTGATGCCCCCGTATGGCAATATTGCAAAGATTAAACTTTTCTTAAATGCAAATTTCACTAATTGGTACCAAAAGTATGGTATTTTCACAGGAAACAATTTTGAAATTTGAAAGTAGGCCAATGTTCAAGTTTTTTCAATAAGTACAAAAATCTCCAAGGTCAAGGTTATTGGTATCTAATGAAAGGTCTTGTCACATAGAATACTTATGTAAAGTATGGAAGCCCTAGCCTTAACCATTCAGAAGTTATGGCCAAGGTTAAACTTTTAAAAATAGGTCAAACTTAAAGTCAAGGTCAAAAGGTCAAAGTTCTTGTTATCAAATGAAAGTCGTTTACGAGGGCATAAAAATTAATAATTACCTTTGGCTAGCTAGGTATGGACGCCTGTAGGGGCCATGTAGAAAGATATTTTATCTGGAGACGGTTAATCATTTGGGGTCACCAGCTCGCTTTCTGGCAACCACAAAGTAATTATATAAAATTAACACTTCCCAAGGATGTTTCCATATGTTATGCTTTTCTGCCCTGGTGGCTCTTGAGATAAAAAAGTTTTTGATATATTTTAATGTGAAACTTTAAAATCCCGTTGTGGCCCCGCCTTATCCCCAGGTTGTAGTTTCAATACTTTAAAATCTACAGTACCCCTGGATGCTTTCACATATGTTTAATTAAAATAATTAAAGTTTCCTTCACCTAGAAATGCTTTGTACCAATTTTGATTAAAATCTTCCTAGTGGTTCTTAAGAAGAAGTTGAAAATGCGAAAAGTTTACGGACAGCTAAACGGACGACGGAAAACGATTAATCAGAAAATATCACCTGAGCGCTCAGCTCAGATGAGCAAAAAAGATAAAAATTTATATGAAACACGTGGAGATAACGTTCAGTATTCAAGATCAAAAGTCCATATAACAAAACAAAATAGGGGCATGGCAAACACGAACCTCCGAAATGGTTGGATCAGGTGCCATGGAGGAATACAGTGTAAGCATCCCTTGCCGACCAGTCACACCAACCGTGTGCTCCTTGCCATGATCGGGAAATAAAAGAAAAATACGTTGTCAATTTAGTGTATAAAAAATGGACTAACGATTAGTATGAAAAACGTAAGTCAACATTCGACCCACTGAAAAATTGTATTTGATGACGAGGACATTGTTTCGACCATAGAACTTCCGAAATGATGACTTTAAACGTGACAGCTGAAATTCTTTTTTCATCAACTTGTTTGTTGATAATTACCTAGTTTTAGAAATTATTGATACGTAGAGCATGCTCTTGTGTATCATATAAACTGAGATATATAAACTCCGTATGCAGGTGATGAAGGTATATTGCTGCATAAGTAAGGGAAGTTAACGATAGAAGAGTTAAAGCCATCACGTTTATCATATAGCTTAGATGTTAGATTGTACCACTGACATCTTTTTCAAGAAAAATATCAAAATATGAAACAGATTTGTCAGACTCTTTGGTATCTTTAATCTCAAGCTCACCAGGATATATTGTATCTGCATAAGAATGGAAATTGACATTGTTAATTGAGTTCTACGTCGTCGATATACATGTATCTAAATGTCGAGTTGAAGGCCACAGCAAGTGTTTTCTTTTGAAAAACTAATTTCTCATTTAATTAAAATCGAGCATTATAGAAACAGTACAGGTTGGGTAATGGCATGGTGTTATAATTAAACAACAATTAAAATCTCCAAACTTACCACTTACCCCGACCATGTCAATCCTGAGAACCCTAATTACATGTATCTCAAAATCACCTAAAGTACGAACATTTAAGATATTTTAATTTTATGGAAATATTTTTCATATTTACACAGTTTTTTTTTTTATTTTTTTGCTACTTACCGATTACAGATTTTCTAATTGATTACTATCAACCGAGTAACCGGTTCACCGATAAAAAATTACCATCCCTATTATTTCCATTGTTGGTATTGTATTAGTTTTAATGCCCTTGTAATCGAAGGTTCGGGAGTAAATAGTTTTAGCTCTGTTCGTCTGTTTATCCGCAAAACTGTAACACATAACGTTTGTATGGATGGACTATGGCTGTCATATTTCACATGTGTACTCCTTATGACAAAACCTTTTTTAGCACCACCAAATTTGATTTCTTGACCTTGACCTTCGAGTTTGACTAACTTTAAAAAAACCCACTTTAACCTTGACCAAAACATTTGAATAGTTTATGCTAGGACTGTCATATTTTACCTGTGTATTTTGTGACAAGACCTTTCGATGGATTTAGATAAATTTTACCTTTTGACCATGACCATAGTGTTATATCTACTTTGATTCTGGGGCTTTCATATTCCACAAATGCATTCCTTGTGAAAAGACCGTCCTCTTAATATCAACAATTTTGACCTCGACTTTGGGGCTGACTTGCATCATAGAAACTTCAACCTTCATCATAAGCTTCAATACAGGGGCATCAGTGTTTCACAAACAAATCTTGTTTTTCTTTTGTAAAAATGGAATTTTCATTTTCATTTTGTTAATATGTTCAAGGCACAGATATTTCCTGCTTTCGACAAAAAGCCTCTTTACTCATAATTTTTTTTCTAATTTTATGCATCTTATCTGAAAGATGGCTATTTTTTTTATAGAATGCTTTAATTTGGCATTTATATTCTTAAGTGGTTGTTAAATTGTCTTCATATAAATATGAGTGTTTCATTAAAAAATAACAATCAGCATGCATAATATTAACAAAGCCCGACTCATTAAAACCCCTGTAAATATTCTACAAGTCCTCTTTTCAAATTTCAACACAATGTTATGTTTTGATAAATATGGTTTATTGATATGTAAAATTTAATATGAATTTCAAACTACAATCTGGCTATTTAATTTTTTCAAAACTTCATTCATACACGCAATCTACTGAAACAGCTTAATCACTTGTCATGAACATTATTGCTTTAAATATTTTCCAGATGTGTATATAATTGCAGTAAATACACATGCACGTATAGTCCATGTACATAGATTAAAATAAAAGAAAATAACTTGAACAATAACTTATTGCATTTTTTTGTTACCGAGAATATCTTCGTACCTTCTCCTTTGCAAATTTGAGAATTTCTATATCTTCCTGGAATACTTCAAATGTATGTGTACTGTTGCAGTTTTCGAAGTTTAATTTCAAGAATCCCTGTTCAACTTTTTGTCGTAAGTGTTCTAAATCAGATTCTTGATTCCAATATCTATATCCCAAATCCGCTTTGTAATCCAATAAAATTTTCACCTTCTTGGTTCTATCAATAGCATGATCGTCATGAATAATCGCAGAGAACAAGGTTTGCACCTCTTCTCTATCTGTAACCTCATCATCATCAAATACGTATTCTTCTTTACTTTTTTCATACCGGTATTTTTCATCATATATCAAAGAAGCAATTGGAGCATACAAATTTGTGTTTTGGTTGATAATCTCACGACCACCTCTGTCTTCATCCGTTTTTGCATGTTGAAATAAAATAAGCTGATTAGGATTTAATCCTATTGTCAGTAGCCACTTTAGATCAGCTCTTGATCCCGAGCTTAATATGTCACAAAAGTCAGATGGCGGAAAGTAAGGCCTTTTATTTACTAAGCATACACCATTTTTACCATTTTTTTCGCCAAGCACAACGTCAGAATGCCTTAGCT